CAATGCTTGACCTGCCTTTTTTCCTTCATCGACACTACCTAACATTCCCTCTATTTAGGTACTTATTTGTTTTGTTATCTGATGCCTACACCGAAATGTGAACTCTATGAGAAGAGGCGCATGTTCTCCTTTGTCTGCTGACGTGTCCCTAGCATTTGAAATAAGGCCTGGCACATTATAGGGTCCAACAATTTTTGCTAAATTATTTGCTAAGTGTTTGTGGTTGAGAGATCTTAATAGATTCAATGGCTCTTGTGCCCAAAGAGCTGGCAGCAAACCCGGCCAATCAATGCTGTGAATATCCTCCTTCCCCACTCCCTCTGATGGCCATTGGGACATGACAGTGGATGAGGACTGGAGTGAAAAACTAAAGAGAAGAGCAGAGCTAAAAATGAACCTTCCTCTTGACATCAAGCAAGTCTTGTAAAAGATCCAGAACTCCTAGTTAATCTGGGAGCAGCACCTAAAGTGGGGGTTTCCATCAGCCCTTTAAGGCTATAACAAACAAACAAACAAACAAGTAAGAAGAGGATTTGCAAAACATAGGTAGCCAAGTTCCTTCCCAGCTCTCCTTCCTCCCTTTCAACATGATTATCCCACCAATATAGAAATTCAAGAGCCACCATAATTGAAAAGAGGAGTAAAAGACACTATGATGCAGCTGAGCATGGGGAAGCTCTTTCAAGATTCATATATAATAGGAAAGGCAGCTTAAGTGGAGGGTGAAGAGGTTCTGCTGAGTTTCTCTAGAAGACAGGGAATTGGAAAGAGTAGAATGAAGAGAAGAGATTAGGAGAGGGGAGGAGGAAAATTCAAGGGGTATCTAAGAACCAGGTTGTGAGTAGGTGAGGCGAGAAGTCTCCTACTTACGGATGCTGGCTTCAACCTTCAGTGCTGCACACAATAAAGACACTCTAGGAACCCACCCTTTGCGCCCCCATGCCCGTCTGCCCCTTCACTCCTTACTGGCATCACATATGAGCAACTGATGCATTTGGCTCATTTTCTTTGAGCTTTCATGAGGTTTTACTTAGTGAGACCGTCCCACTGTGCTTATATTCTATTTACTACTACATGGCATTGAATCGGAGAGCATTTGAAAAGTGGGATGAAAGGAAATGAAAGCTTGTCCTTACCTTGAATCCCATTTCGGAGCTGAAATTAGATCCCACCTACTGGGAAGGGAGGGAGACTGTCACCCAACAACGCTCAGCCCCCTCGGCACATGCAAAGCTTCATGTCCCTGCCCCCTGGCTTTGGCACCGGGGGTCCCACGGCTGTGCCCAGGATAAAAGCACTGTCCCCAGCTTGCTCTCAGGCAAGACAGACTGCTTTTAATTAGGAGCAGGAGCCGTTGTTAGATTTGTATTTTTCTTTCCTCTTTTTTTTTCTATGGTTGACGGCATGATGTGTGTTACATATTTAATTAAAGAGGATCTAATGAGTACTTCTAACAGCCCTGGGGTCAGAAGGGCCACTGCAGAGATTCATGCAAATGAGCCAGGCTTTATGGCTTCCCTCGTGAGAAGCAGGATGTCGTCCAAAATGGCAGAGTCAGAAGGAGCCCATCAACTTTCCAGATTCCACAGGAGAAACCCAAGCGGGTGGGGGGTGGGAGGGAAACACAGGGTGGGGCATCGAAGTCACAGGCTTTGTGTCTGGGCCGAGAAACAAGTCTAAATAAATATTGAGGGTAAGTCTAAACTTTATTACTTAAAATGTACGAAGGAGACGAGGTCACTGGCCTAGGCTGGAGAGCAAGAACACACGTTTGGATGTTGGAAGGTGATTAGGATGAGTGAAGGAAGGAAAGGTGAGACAACATGTACTAAGGCATTTAGGTTTTAATTTACGGGAACTGGGCCAGTCAATGGTTTTGTGTGCACTTTCTTCACCACGCTCTACTCTTACATCTGTTACAGCACGTGTCTTGTGATTCATCTGCAGACATGTCTGTACCTCTTCTGGACTCTGGACTGACTCCCCAAGAGTGAGGACCTCCCTTCTCTGCTCCTGTGGCACCTACTAAACCTCCTTTTGTTACACCAGGTATCGTACTACAGTGTACTTGCCCATCGAGTTTCTGCGTACCCTGCCTCACTGAAAATTGATTGTGAGGATTTTGTTTTGTTTTCCATATTCTTTTTGTCTCATTCATGTTTATATGCCTAGCATCGGGCAGAGTGCCTGGCACATAGTTTACTCTCAATAAGTTATTAGTAAGTAAATGAATAATCCAAGTGCATTCAGTCTGCTTTGAGGCCAATCTCAATATAATGATTACACCCAAAACAAAAAAGACAGACTGCAAATTTACCCCTAAAAATTAAAGAGCTGTTTAGATTTTTACTGAAAGTCAGCTGCCTGGGCAAATAGAGAATGACCTTATGTTGCACATTATACCAGGTGACTTCTTTAAAAAACCCCTTTGAACTAAGATATAGAATAAGCAATTTAATGCATTGTCCTTGATCGAATCTTATTATTTAAAAATTCAGCTATAAAGATATTTTTGAGATAATTGTGGAATGACTGGTATTAGATGATATTCAGAAATTATTGTTGTTGGTATGATAATAGTGTTGTGTTATGAAGGAGATCATCTTTGTGGTGGCTTTGAAAAGTAGCTACAAAATCTTTGACACCCCATGAAGAAGAAGGGATCTAGATCCCTTCCCTTCAATATGGATGTGTTTATACCTGTTTGGGTTTGGTAAATATGATGATTCAGGGTTTCCAAAGCTATATCAGAAAACCCTTAGCAGGTTCTACCTGCACCTTCTGGAATGGCCATTTCTTTCTCAAGATACTTCCTCTCACACTCAAATGCCATAGGTGAGATGCCCAAGCCAGATGTGGGTGTTCCAGTCCCCACACCCAACTAAGACCAGACCTGGAGTCATCATTCCTAGGCTTATCTGTAAAGGTCTCCAGATAATTACAGCTTCCAGCCATTTGAACAATCTCAACTGAAATCCCAGATATAGCGGAACAGGGGCAACCCTTCCCTCTGTGGATTACTGACCCGCAGAATCAATGGTTGCTACATCATGCCACTAAATTTGGAGTGGTTTGTTAAGCAGAAATAGTAACTGCACTTGTCTGATGTTTTTTGGAGATGCGTACTGAAGACCTTAGGAATGAAGAGCTGGGATGTCTTTAGTTCACTTTTAAATGCTTCCCTCCAAATGGGTACAAAGACAGCCAGAGAGAAAGATTGAGAAAATTTAGCAACACATTGCCAATTGTCCTATACAGATGGAGAATATACTGTTATTTACTGAACTGATTTTCCTACTTTCTGTAAGATTTAAAACTTGCATAAAAAATTATCTAAAAAGTGATTTTCAACACCTCTTTCTTCCCCCAAATTCTGGTCCTCAGAAAACCTAATTTTATCACTCACATCTTCAATCTCTCCCAAGTCTCATCATACCACCCTCTCTTTGAAGGGGCCCTGCTTCTTTCTCCCTCCTTCAGGGTCTCTTCTTGGTGGGTTCTGCCTTCCCCAATGAAGAGCAAACAGAACCCTTGCCAGAAAAACCACCTTTTTGAGATCTGTCCCATTGTAAGACAGGGCAAGGGATTAGGATTGTAATAGCTAATACTTTAATGTTTTCTTTCAAATTAATGATATACTTTTAAAAAGACTTTTAGAAACTATGAAGATTAGTAAGAAAGAACCAAAAGCCTTCATTAAATTTAATATTTATTAGTAAAACAAGGGCAAAAGTCTTCCTGCATTCAAAACTTCTGATTTTCAAAGCATTGCTAGGATTCTTCTCATCAAAAGAAAAGTAAAGCAGTTTTCTGACTCATTGTGGGGCAAATCAAGCCAGAAAAAGGAACATTTGAAAAAGCTCTGATCCGAAGTGCTGTTTCTTCTATCCTGACTCCCAACCTCATGATCCCTTTGCTGCACAATTCACTCGAGGTGCCAGTGGGAACCCATCCCTCTTCCCCAGCCCCTGGGTGTTTTCCCAACCAGCTGCACCCCCTCTTCTCTTGAAAACCACTGCTCCCCGGAGGACAAGAACCAGGGTGAAGCTTGGAAGCCCAATTCCATTGTAAGCAAAATATCTTACATCCTTGTTATTTTCTTTAAATACTCCTGTCCACCTGGCTGGATTAACTGGAACCACTTTGTCCCCCATGACACCACTTCCTGTATACCTTTTCCAATAATAACGGTAATAATAATAATAACAACATGAAAGTGAATTTGTATTGAGTGTTTACAGTGTGGTGGGTTTATGCTACTCTCTTTTATGAATTATTTCAATGACTCTTCACAGCAACCGCATAAGGTGGATACCACCGTTATTGCCATTTTAGAGATGAGGAAACTGGGTAGTTGCATAGTTTACTCATGACTACCCAGCTAGGAAGGAACAGACCGGGATAGAAATCAGGTATTCTGACAGAGAACCTCTGCTGATAACCATCACACACTATTGTTTCCCCTAGAGGACTCCTAAAGAGCTCCATTCCTTCTCTCCCGTTCCCGATACCCAGAATCAGAAGGGGTCTGCTTGTGCACACTGCAGCACCCAGACCGTGCCACCTTACTATCCCCAGACATCTGCTAATCTTTGCAGCCTTTATCACATCACCCTCATTACCTATCTAGCTCCAGGATAATCAGTTTCTTCCTGGGAAGTCAACATGTGAATGCCATTATACTTTTCTGATTGTTCCCTGACCCTTTATGCCAACATTCAAGCCGATGATCTTGTACCTCCAGCATCTCCAGAGACTAACTGATTTCTAACCATCACAGCCACACATCGTCACCACTCAGAACCCACACTTCTGCCTCTAGGGTCTTGAACTTGCAACAGTTCCTTTCTCATTTCTTCCGCCTTATCCTAAATGTCCCCTTTGCCTTTATTTCCACTAGCCTGGTTCTTTGTTTCAGCCGTAAGTTCCAGTAAGCCTACCTTTCCTTGTTCCTCTGTATCCAGGACCTCCATCCTGAGCTCACTCTCCTCTCTACTCACCTCAGGGCCCTGCTGTCATTTCTCCGCCGCCCTCGGAGCCTCGCTCTCATTGCCGTGATGATCCTTGACAGTTCTCAACTCTGGGAAAGTAAACTTTGCTTTTGCTCCTCACCCTCTGAGGTTGTGAAATGCAACTGGGGAATTTCATGAAAGCATGTTTAATCTTTGTTAACCATGAATCATTTCCATTTGACTCACCTAGCTGTTTCATCTCATATGAAATCTTATCACCTGCTGATCTCCTATCAGCTCCACATTTCATTTCCCCTGAAAGTTGCCTGAAATCATTCTCTTCCCTCACCCACACAATGCACCTACCTCTGCTCAAGCAGAGGACCCTAAAAATGTTTACATAATCTTCCAGGAGCTTCTCAAAAGGGTTCTCCCAAGGATTCCAGTGTCTCTGAATCACTGAATCCAACAATTGTTTCTTAGCCCTCACCTCCAAGAATCCAGAACCTTCGATTAGCCTCTATACCATGATATTCTATCCTACATGGATCTCCTTTTTCTCCCACTTTCTTCTGTCTCTTCCTTATTCCGCCCTCTTAAAAAGGCAGCCCTGAGGTTAAGTATTTTATTACCTGATACCTAAAGATTACTTCCCTTTCCTAACCTTCTACAAACTGTCACCTCTATGTAAATGCATGTTTAAATGTATATGTTCAGCCTCTGCCTGTTTTCTTCTGCTCTCAAATCCAAGATTTCCAAATACTGCCAGATATCTCCATGGATCACACAGACATTTCAGACCCAACTTCTAAACTTGGACCCCCAAAATGAGCCTCTTACCATGACAGGACTGCTCCTGTTTGGTCACTAATCCTCCGCCTGGACGTCAGTGGTACATATAGTGCTCTCCACCGCCGTGCATCAAAGCCAACCTTCTTGACCTGGAGCTCAAGTACTTCCATGCTCTTATGTACCCTAAGTTTTCAGCATTATCTCTTCTTCTATCATGTGTTTGTTCATTTATCCGATAAGCCAATATATGGAGAGTTTCAGCTTTTTTTAAACAGTGTATCATCAGTTCATTTATGAAACAATGGCTTCTCAACATGTCTCTAAATGCTCTCCAGGAAAGCGTAGTGAGTAAAGGTGCAGGCTATGTGATCATATCAATGCAACTTAAAATCCTAGTCCTACCTACTTGGTAGCTGTATGCCATGGACAAATTACATAATTTCTCTAAGCATCAATGTTCTCATCTATGAATTGGATGTTTCAAGAATCAAATGAGATAATGCAAGCCAAGTGTTCCAGAGTTCTTAGCACATACATAACATGTTAAGTGTTTCTTATCTTTACCTTCTCAAATTGTTTTGTAATGATGGATCTTTGCTACTTTAGTGTGGGTCTCACCTCAAGAGCCTTTATTCCAATCAAGCCCATTTCATAAACATAGAATACACTTATATAACAAAGAATAGAATTGGGACTGAATCTCATCAGGCAGTTGTTCCATTGTCCTTGGTTAGAAGAACCTGACCAACTGATGTGTATCTCTCACTTTACTGGAGTTCTCTTAATTTAGCTAAAACTAGAAAAGGAGTACTTGGGTTTTCCTAAGCAGCCAAGCAGAAGTCCAAGAACACATTTACTAATTGGAGTTTCTTCATTTGTTTTCTCAGCTCTGACTCCCTGACCCAAGAGCCAGCTGACCAGATTTTTTCTGAGCTTGGCATAAGGTATCTGAATTCTGGTTCTAAATCCACAAGGAGGTCTACGTATGACCAGGGGAAAGTATATACATTCTCTGGGCTTTAGTTGCCTCATCTTCAAAATAAAGAAAATAAGAATCTTCCCCACCCTCACCTAAAAGCCCAAGGAATGGCTACTATTAGGTGCTCAGTAAAAAACTTGTCAAATTAAAAAATAACTATGCTAATGAATAGCTGCTCTGAAGGCCAACCGAGTTATTAGAAGCAATCACACTTTGAGAAATGAAACAATAATTTAAATTGACATAACAAGTCATTCCATAGCAAGTGGTAAGTGCACTAACCATCTAGTTCAAGGGCTTAAAGGCCTCCCTGTACCTCTGTAACCTCCCAACACTCTCAGCCTCTCCTGGAAGCCTCCCCAAAGCGCTTTACAGCAGCCTGTGTGAGGGGAGCCCAGCAGCCATCCTACTGAGCAGCTGGTTCTCTGGGTACTGCCGGCACTTGCAACCTAACTAAATATCAGAAATTTCTCCAAAATGCCTGTTACCAGTTCCTGTTAGCATCAGAGGAGGCCAGAGAGGTAGGAAGGCTCTGGGCTCATCTGCTCTCTGCGTGACCCCAGCCTGCAGGCAGCCCCCCAAGGGCCTCCTTGGCACGTGAATCCCAGAGCTCGCTCTGATTGGCTCCCCAGCCTCAGCCCTCTCAGCTGGGAAGCAGTGACTGAGGTAAACCTTGGCACCGCAAACCCCACAGCCATAAATTTCACTTACATCTAGTAAAACACAGGCATCCAATTAAACCTATAATCCTATAAACTTGCCAGCAATCAAGCTCACAGGTAAAAATGAAGACGGACAGGTGCACTCCATCAATACCACCGAGGTTACAGCCTGCAGTTTGCGGGCTGTTCCTGCGTTGAATCTTCTGCTGTTCTCGCTGCTGTTTGTTTTCTGCCCGGGTAAAAATAACAAATGTTCCTGCTTGCTCTTCCATTGCATCGTCCTGTGCCCTGGACCCTATGGCCAACCAGACCTTGGACAGGCAGAGGCAAAATGAGTCTCCGCCTTTCTGTAGCCCCTCCTCTCCCCACCTCCACGCTCCTCCCCAGGCCAGACCACAGACAGAGACTCTAGTGCCTCGAGGGTACCAGAACCTCTGCCTCAGGGCCTCCTCTGGTCTTTGCATTGACTGCCCTGGCCCTGGCCGCTGCCACTGGCTGTTGCCCACCAGGAACAGTTTATACCATGTTGGGTTGCTTTGGGTACCCAATTTGCAGGGGATTGGTTGAAAGAGTAACACATTTGAAGAGAATAGAAGAAATAGTTCATCAGTTAACATGTCATCAGATAAACAGCTCCCTAATGCTATAAGGGGAGGAGCTGAGGACAGCTTCCAGCACTTTGCTCAGGATTCACCTCACCTCTCATTATGAACCTTCTTCCTGCCCTGCCTTTACTGTGGTCGTGCAGTTCTCTCCTTTCTCTCCTGCCTGCCTGACACTCTCTTCTCGCCCCTCCATCAATCCCTTTTTTTCCTCCTGCCCTCTGTTCATCTAACCAACACCTACTGTGGGCACAGCCCTGTCTGCACGCTCCTTGCTTTCTCCAGCCCTGCACAACATAAGCTAACCTTACCAATTGACAAATGAAAGAGAAGTCACAGTTTTATCTTCACTGTGCTCTAATTTTTCCAACAAAAAAAGAATGTGTCTATAATGACTTTCAACAGATTGCGTTGACTATGAATGAGTATCTCCCAAAGCTCTCTTTGCCTCTTTGACCAACTGAAATAAAGATTCCTAGTGCGGAATTTAAATGATCAGTAAAGAAAACACATCTAAGAAACATACATAAGACCAGCCGTTTGTTCAAATCAAAAGAGATTTTGGTGACTAAGATTTTTCTCTCGGCAAATTCCTAATGGAATTTCCAGTTGGGTCTTCTGACTATTAGCATCTGTGATATGGACATCTCCTGTTGGCTCAGGTACCAGTCCCAGAATTTGCCAAGTCTTGTTCTTTTTCCCAGGGGCATGAGTCATTACAACATACAGAAAAATGTTTCTGGCAGCATGTACATCTGATCTCTGCAAGTAAAAACATCAGGGAAGTTGGAAGGCTTTGGAAGAAATTCAGCCCTATTTTCCAAGAAATTATCTATGTTTCTCTTGTCCAAGGATCATGCAATTCTTGGAATTGGGGAAGAGAAGAGGGTAGGCAACACAAAGAGGATTGCTAAGAAAATCCAACCACATAGCAATATTCTTTTCTTAAATTGCACAATTCATATTCACAAAAAAACAATTATCTATACTCTATTACAGACATGATATGGCTGACCAGAGAGATTAGCTCTATGAGCTTCATTGGTCAGATCCTAAGACTGGAAAGGTTGGAAGAGGCCATGAAAGGTCTTCTTGTATACACTCTACCTCCCAACAGGGCTGCACATTCACCAGAACATAAACCCCACCTGCTTTAAGGCACAGCTGATTTGGTAAAAGTAGTTGCAGAATAGGCTCTCAGACATCAGAATCATCCAGACTAGTATGAGTAACAGTGGATCTGGTGGCCTGGGTATGTGACCTGGTGCTTTTATGTATCCTTGTTTAATTTTCAAGACAACGCCATGACTTGATTATAGCTACTCCCACCTTGTTTCTTTATTCCCATTTTGTGGAAGGAATGTCATAGTCAGACTTGATACCTAAATTTGGATCTTCTAATCCTGCAGTTTGAGTCTGGAGCCTGCACTGTGCTGTCCTTTCTGGGCTTGGACTGACTTGACACCGAAGAGAACCAGTCCATATGTTACTGGGTATGTGGGCAAAGAAGACATTATCTGGCCAGTTCAGACCCCTCAGAAGAGTGGCTGAGTGGCTCTTTCCCTCTCCAAACCGGTGACAGGGGTAGACCCCACAGAAAGGGTAGGATTCAGTGAGTGTGGATAATCTCCTTCAGACACCGGTGGATGGGAAATATAGATATATATATATATACTCTGTCATTAAAATAACCCCATTTTTCTAAGCTACTAAAAGGATTATTCAAAATGTTTAAAGCAAAATCCCAAAGCCTGTTACTGGCTTGCCAAAGAAGCTAAAGTCTTTTTTAGTTTTTTTTTATTCTACTCTTCCTATGAATGTTGATTCTGAGTCAGGCAAACAAATGGGCACCAGTTTCTCAGCTGTCACTCAACATGCAAGGAGGTCCTGAGTGGGTCTCACCGCAGAGTACCGAGGTATTGGTTTCTTCCTTTGGTCTCCCCCTCTGCCCCCCACCACCCTTTATTGCGCTCCCGCGGAAACGCAGAATGCATCAAGTCTATCTAAGCAAGACTTCTTTAAATGACTGTGCAGATGTGGACTATAATTTTATTCTGCTTAGCACTCAGGAACTTAGCTTGGGTAGTAAGAATTACTG